GACATTCCACAGATATATAATCCCCACTTGCCTAGTTTCCAACAGAGCTCACAACCTCTGAGGATGCCCGCCATAGATATGGGTGAAACTTCAGAAAAAAATGCTTCTGGAACATGGCTATACAGCCCGGAAAACTCACAGCAACCCAAAATCTCCACTGTTTCACGAAAGATAAGTGAATGGTGAGTGCTGCTGGAAGTGTGGAAAAAAGAAAAATGACTTAGGAGTTAGTGAATGTGATTGGAATAAGCAGACTCCAAAAAAATATGAAATTATGGGGATGACTGCAGGAAAAGACATGAGAACCTGAGTGGACTATCACACACATTCAGCAATTGTTACTTTTTAGACTACAATATTATGAAAGTTTTGATAGTGGTAGAGTAAAAAGAGAATGGGAAAATGGAGACAGTATCCGGGGATAAATGTGCTGCTTTTGAAGTCAAGCCTCTTTTAACTGATACTTCTGCAAGCTTGAGTTCTCTTGGATCTCACATTTTTTCCAAACAAGAAGATGCATTGGTATTTAGCATTGAAAGGCAACGGCAAATATTGTTTCCTCCTATAGCTGGAAGAGGGATTTGAATGTTGAACGGTGGCTCTGGAGACTAGGGCCCCTTCTATATCACAGGATCTGATCCCAGATCTGATCAGGGCCAGCTAACACCTCCCAACAAAGGATTCCCACAGGCAGGAAGCAGCCAGGCTTTGAAGCTGCAAAGCCATTCAGTGCTAATCAAGGTGGCCAATTGCAACATTCACACTTGCCTCAAGCAGAGAAGAGTTCTTTCTCCTACCCTGGATATTCCACAGATATATAAACCTCACTTGTCTAGCTTCCAGCAGACCTCACAACCTACAAGGATGTCTGCCATAGATGTGGGTAAAACATCAGGAGAGAATGCTTCTGGAACATGGCCATACAGCCTAGCAAGCTCACAGCAACCCAGTGATTCCGGCCATGAAAGCCTTCAACAACACATTATTATTATTACTGTTATATTTATTTATATACCACTTTCTCTCTCTTAGAAGAGACATAGGCTCCTTCTACACTGCCATATAAAATCGAGATTGGAGCATATGGCAGTGTATACTAATCTAATCCAGTTCAAAGCAGATACAGTGGATTATTTGTTTTGAAAATCTGCATTATATGGCAGTGTAGAAATTGATAATTATATATTTGCCAGAGTATATAGGTCTGCAGAGAATGGTGCATGGATATGCTCCCAGATGTAAGCCCTTGTGTGCAGGTCCCTCCTTTTTCTCTTCCTTCTCATTCTTCCATTGTTACAAAATGTAAACAAAGGGAATTAACTAGGTGAAAGGATCCCATGCTCTCACAGGAGGAAAAACTTCCAAACTGTTACAAAATGGTGTTGTCAAAGGCTTTTTCATGGCTGGAATCATTGCATTGCTGTGAGTTTTCCGGGTTGTATGGCCATGTTCCAGAAGCATTCTCTCCTGACGTTTCTCCCACATCTTTGGCAGGCATCCTCAGAGGTTGTGTGGTCTGTTAGAAACTAGGCAAGTGGGGTTTATATATCTGTGGAATGTCCAGGGTGGGAGAAAGAACTCTTGTCTGTTTGAGGCAAGGGTGAATATTGCAATTGATGACCTAGATTACCATGAAATTGCCTTGCAGCTTCAAAGCCTGGCTGCTTCCTTTCAATAGAAAGGAAAAAACCATGAACATGGACAACATCTGGGTACTACTATTTTTAAAAAAAATCTAAAACCAGGACAGTAAATAAAGAGCAACACTCAAAAAACAGAGGAATTCCAGACAGGAAACAATCAGGGCCAGTTAATACCTCCCAACAAAGAATTCCACCAGGCAGGAAGCAGCTGCAAGGCCATTCAATGCCAATCAAGGTGGCCAATTTCAACATTCATATTTGCCTCCCACAGACAAGAGTTCTTTCTCCCACCCTGGACATTCCACAGATATATAAACCCCACTTGCCTCGTTTCCAAAGACCTCACAACCTCTGAGGACGGTTGCCTTTCATAGATGTGGGTGAAACGTTAGGAGAGAATGCTTCTGGAACACGGCCATACAGCCCGGAAAACTCACAGCAACCCAGTGATTCCGGCCATGAAAGCCTTCAACAACACAATTTTGTAAGTCTGTGGCGAAGGCTCCTTCTTTGGAGGCTTTTAAACAGAGACTGGATGGACATCTGTCGGGGGTGCTTTGAATGCAATTTTCCTGCTTCTTGGCAGGGGGTTGGACTGGATGGCCCACAAGGTCTCTTCCAACTCTAGGATTCTATGATTCTATGAAATCCCAGCAGCCAGGCTGGAAGTAATATTTATTTATGTATTTATTTATGACATTTATATGCCGCCCTTCTCACCCGGAAGGGGACTCAGAGCGGCTTACAAGTTATATATACATTCACTACACTATACTATTAGCATAGTACAATATCAGCATTAAACTGCTATATTGTACTATACCAATTATATTGTAATATTATTAGTATTATTACATGTAACATAAGTATATAATTACAATATATTATTATTAGTATTATATTGCATTACATTATAATATCATAAATATTAAATGTATATACAATATATTATATTATATTATTAGAATAGCACAGGAGACAAGATGGAACCATATCATATTATTATCATATAATTATCAATATATTATTAGTAGTAGTATTATAATTCATTACATTATAATATCATAAATATTCAATGTATATACAATATATTATATTATATTATATTATATTATTAGAATAGCAAGGAGACAAGGTGGAACCATATCATATTATTATCATATAATTATTAATATATTATTATTATTAGTAGTATTATATTTCATTACATTATAATATCATAAATCTTCAATGTATATACAATATATTATATTATATTATTAGAATAGCACAGGAGACAAGGTGGAACAATATCATATTATTATCATATAATTATCAATATCATATTTTAGTAGTAGTATTATATTGCATTACATTATAATATCATAAATATTCAATGTATATACAATATATTATATTATATTATATTATATTATATTATATTATATTATATTATATTATTACAATAGCAAGGAGACAAGGTGGAACTGTCCCCTGCCCCCCCCCTTCACTCTGGCCCAGAGAGGCAATTGATGCTGAGGGGAGGGGTCTCCAGCTGAAAGCATATACAGGAGACAAGCTAATAATAATAGTTTAAAAAGTAATAGTAAATAGTGAAGGTAAAAGTTCTCTCTCTCTGTCTCCTCAGAGTCTTTCAACTGCAAATACAGATGTGTGACCTCCTAACACGTGCTTATACTCTCTTTAGAATAGTACTGATCTTGTCCAGACCCTAGCAGATGGACAGGGTGACCCTATAGCTGGGAATCAGACCCAGGGCAGAGAGGCACTTCATATTAAAGGTCAAGGTTTTCCTTTGACATTAATTCCAGACGTGTCCGACTCTGGGGGTTGGTGCTCATCTCAATTTCTAAGCCAAAGAGCCGGCGTTGTCCATAGACACCTCCAAGGTCACGTGGCCAGCATGACTGAATGGAGCGCCGTTACTTTCCCACCAAAGCGGTACCTATTGATCTACTCACATTTGCATGTTTTTGAACTGCTAGGTTGGCAGAAGCTGGGGCTAACAGCGGGACATCACACCGCTCCCTCATATTCAAACCTGCGACCTTTCGATCAGCAAGTTCAGCAGCTCAGCGGTTTAATCAGGGGCCCTCATGTATACAATAATCATGTATATTTGCACACTGATTCAGGTCCTGAAACCAAATCCTAATGGATTTCAAGGACCCACTGTAATATCATATTTTCATTTGTACTTTTGGTGAGGCTCCTTCAAATTAAAACCAAACAGAAATAAAATCCCATTAAGTACAATTGTACAATGATGCTGGTGCCACCTATCTGGAAACAGACCAACAATGCCCCACATTGGTACCTACAAATGGCAAACAACTATTCAAGAAACACCCCCAGACCTCTCCAAAGGCATCCAATGCACTGCCCTCCAGATAGAGTTGTTTCCCAACCCTAGATGCCCTTGCTATGACTTCCCTCCTCGCCCTATAGATCCCTGGATTGTTGCCCATAACCTTATCCTTTTCCAACTTGCACCTTTCTTTCCTCCATCACAACAAAGATGCCTCTGAGGTAGTGAGGATGCTTGCCATAGATACAGGCGAAACGTCAGGAGAGAATGCCTCTAGAACATGGCCATATAGCCCGAAAAACCCTACAACAACCCAGTGATTCTGGCCATTAAAGCCTTCGACAATACAAAGATGCCTCTCCTTCCCTTTGCCTCCATCCAGCGCTTGCTGCCTTTTTTCATGCTCTAATAAACTTAACGCAGAGGGGATCCACTTGGATCTATCAAAGCCTCAAAGGAGTCACCCTTCCCCAATGTTTAAGTGTGGGTTTGGGATCTCTGGCATCTTCTTTGTAACCCCATTGCCTTTGGAGAGAGGCATAGATGAAAAAGGAGTCCCCCTTCCCCAATGTTTAAGTGTGGGTCTGACATCTCTGGCATCTCCTTTGCATCCCATTGCCTTTGGAGAGAGGCACAGGGGCGCTCTGTAACCTCCTTCCATTCAACCTGCTTGATCCTCTGCTCTCTTCTCTCCCCATCCTCTTCCAATATAAAAGAGGGGGAGCTCATCACACTAGAGGAAAAAAATCCACTTAAAATCCTGTTTCTTCCTCCTGCAAAATTCTGGGGTTTGTAGTTTAGGGAGGAGCCTTTAACAGTCTCCACTAAACTACAAACCCCAGAATTTGCAAGAGGATTTTAAGTGGATTTTTCTCTAGTGTGATGAAGCTTTGACACTCAAATATCCAAGCTCCTATGAGGCCAAGGGGGAAATATCAGAGCGCATTACTTCCTCCCCTCCTCCCTTGCCTTCCGAAGCGACATGCCCTCCCATGGCCCCCCAAAGCTGACCCACAAAAGCCCCCCAAACGTGCCCACTGCCCACCTACCTGCACGTGTCCTTCCATAGGAATGCCAGGCGCCCTGTGTGTGTGTGTGTCTGTCTGTGTGTGTTATGGGATGGGAGGAGGAGGAGGAGGAGCCCGTGCTCTCTGCGTAATATTAGATGGCGAGGGGATGATGATGATGATGAGCCTGGGATTGTTTAGGCTACTCCAGGAGGAGTGTGCTGTTGTTGTGTCTAGGAGGAAAGGGAAAGTGTCAGGCACCCCCTGGCCCTGGAGGATCCCTCTGTGTCTGTGTGTGTGTGTGTTGCTCCTCCTTGAATAACAATGTCTCGCTGTGTGTGTGTGTCTGGGCTGGAAAGCTCCCCTCCTCCTCCTCCTCCTCCTGCTCCTTCCCTGGTTGAGATTATATTAAAGGCTCTGTGATAGAGAGACAGAGAGAGGCAAGCACAGGGAAAGAGAAAGAGAGCAGAGCATCAGCCACCGGAAACCCAAGCCCTGGCCATCCATCCAGCACAGGAAGCCACACACACACACACACACATCTGATTGAGTGTGAGTGTGCCTCCACCTCCCCTGCCCATGTATGGCCACCCCATGAACTGCATGCAGGATTTTCTCCAGGCAAGGCAGACTCAGAGGAGGCTCTAAAATGTAACCTACAGCACTTGGGATTCTATAGCAGTCTCCCATCCAAGGGCTCACCAGGGCTGACCCTGCTTAGCATCCAACATCAGGCAGGATCTTGCCCCCTTCACCATAGGCTGGATCTACACTGCACTATCCCAGGATCTGATCCCAGATTATTTCCTTCTCCCAGATTATTTGGCAGGTAAAAGGTAAAGGGTGAAGATTTTCCCCTGACATTAAGTCTAGTCATGTTCGACATTTCTTAAAGGAAATAAGGGTAAGGTCATTTTTATTTCTTTAGGGAAGGAGTTCCAGAGACAGGGAGCAATCACGGAGAAGGCCTCCTCTCTCATTCCCACCAATCGAGCTTGTAACAGTGGTGGGACTGAGAGGAGAGCCTCCTCTGTAGATCACAGTGCATGGGATGGTCTGTATAGGGAGATGTGGTTAGACAAATAGCTGGGACCCGAACCATTTAGAGCAGTGGTTCTCAACCTTCCTAATGCCACGACCCCTTAATACATTTCTTCATGTTGTGGTGACCCCCTCCAACCATAACATTATTTTCGTTGCTACTTCATAACTGTAATTTTGCTACTGTTATGAATTGTAAATATCTGATATGCAGGATGTATTTCCTTTCATTTACTGGACCAAATGGCATAATTACCCGATACGCCCAAATTTGAATACTGGTGGGGTTGGATTGATTTTGTCATTTGGGAGTTGTAGTTGCTGGGATTTATAGTTAACATACAATCAAAGAGCATTCTGAACTTCACCAATGATGGAATTGAACCAAGCTTGGCACACAGAACTCCCATGACCAACAGAAAATGGAAGGGTTTGGTGGGCATTGACCTTGAGTTTGGAGTTGTAGTTCACCTACATCCAGAGAGCACTGTGGACTCAAACAATGAACGATCTGGACCAAGCTTGGCATGAATATTCCATATGTCCCAAATATGAACACAGATGGGAGTTTAAGGGAAATAGACCTTGACATTTGGGAGTTGTAGTTCTGGGATTTATAGTTCACCTACAATCAAAGAGCATTCTGAACCCACCAACAATAGAATTGGGCCAAACTTCCCACACAGAACCCCCATGACCAACAGAAAATACTGTGTTTTCTGATGGTCTTTGGAGACCCCTCTGACACCCCCTCGTGACCTCCCCTCCAGGGTCCCAACTCCAGTTTGAGAAATGCTGGCTCAGGGCTTTATAAATAATGACCAGCACTTTGTATTTAGCTCAGAAACGGGCCAGCAACCAGTGGAGCTTTGAACTGGAATATATGGCATTGTGAACTCAGATAACCCAGTTCAAAGCAGATATTGTGGGATTTTCTGCCTTGGGTTATATGGCTGAGTGGGAGGGTCCCCAGACACACCCTAATTTCAGTACCACCAACAAAAATAGAATCGATCAATCAATCTTTTTTTTACGGTCCAAAGACCCAGTTTGCTCAGTAGTAAAAAGTGCACAACAGATTCATAAACTGATAAGACCACTTAAAAGCAGAACGAGTGTGAAAGAGTGAAATTTACAGTTGGCATAACGAGATTAATGGGGGAAAATGAATATTGTATGTCTGCTGTATTATAAACCTATTGATTGGTTTTACAAAAAATAAAAATTAAAAAAGAAAGAAAAAGAAAATAAAGAACAAATGCAATGCTTGATGCATATGAACAAGGGTAAAAACGCTGCAAGTATATACAAGGCAAGTTTCAACCTGAGTCTAATACAGGAAGTTGTCCAATCCTGGCTACCTCAGAGAGAAACTTGGCAACAGCCAAGGTCACGTGGGGGAAACTGTCACCTCGTAAAAACTTTACAAAGAATTGGCTGATCTACCAGGTAGGTTGCTCAGCAGTAGGTTAATAATAATAACAAAAATACATAATATACACCTGAGATTGTAAGGTGCATTCCATTTTTAGAGATGTTTATACTACACCATTTTCTTAAAGTCAGACTGAGCTTTGGTGAAGAAGTTTCAGAGGAGAGGCTCCTCATTCCTTCCACGCAAAAAAACCTGAATCCTTACCCTCAGTTGACCTCTCATTTTAAACCAGGGACACCCTATAAATACTTTTCTTTGAATTGTGCAGAGGTCTAAAGTATTGAAAGGCTAAACACCTGCCCCAAAATATTAGTAGTGTCCTGGGTGAATATTTCATTGGATTCATTCTAATATGTGTGATGTATGTATGTGTAAAAGGTAAAGATTTTCCCTGACATTAAGTCTAGTCATGTCCAACCCTGGGGGTTGGTGCTCACCTCCATTTCTAAACCAAAGAGCCGGCGTTGACCACAGACACCTCCAAGGTCATGTGGCCAGCATGACTGCATGGCGCGCCATTACCTTCCTGCCAGAGCAGTGCCTATTGATTTACTCACATTTGCATGTCTTTGAACTGCTAGGTTGGCAGAAGCTGGGGCTAAGAGCAGGAGCTCACGCAGCTCCCAGGATTTGAAGCTGTGACCTATTGGTCAGCAAGTTCAGCAGCTCAGCACTTTAACCCACTGCACCACTGGGGGGCTATGTGTGTGTATATGTGTGTGTGTGTGTGTGTGTGTGTGTGTGTGTATGCTTAAATTGTATGCCTACATCCCATTGATTCAATAGTCTCAACCATTGAATCATTGGGCTTTACTCACAGTTTGACAATATATCAAATGGGATTAACTAGTAAGATGCACACCATCAATGTATTACGGATGTGGATTCAAAGGCAGATGCCCCAGGATGCAGCTACACTGTAGAATTAATGCAGTTTGATACCACTTTAACCATCACGGCTCAGTGCTAGGGAATCCTGGGAGTTGTAATTTGGCGAGGGACCAGCATTCTTTGGCAGGAAAAGCTAAAAACCTTGCAAAACTACAAGAAGCTCAGGCCCTGTCTACATTCCCATAAAATCCAGATTATCAAATCCGATGAGCCACATTATTTGATTTGAACTGGATTATATTAGTCTACACTGCCATATAATCCAGTTCAAAGCAGATAATCTGGATTTTACATGGCAGTGTAGATGGGGCCTTAGATTTCATAGCACTGAGCAATGACAGTGAAAGTGGTGTCAAACTACATTAATTCTACAGTTTCAATGCACCCCCAGAGCATTACAAATATGCTTTATTCTGGATAGTTTAAAGCAGGGTGGGCCAAAAGTCACAAAGGGGTATAATATTTAATAACCCTTTTATTTATTTTAATTTACAACAAAATACCATCATATACAGTGTGTGTGTGTGTGTGTGTGTGTATATATATATACTGTATATACTGTATATATGAAATAAAATTACACAACTTGTAAAATCCTTCCCAACAGAATTCAAAAAGTTATTAAACCATTAGATGCTTTTGTGATTTTTGGCCCAGCTTGTACTTTATGTTTCGTTGAAAAAGTCTCAATTTGGATCCCTTCCTCTGTGCACAAAGGAGTCGCCCAGCCAAGCAGCCAAGGAATGATATCTCCCTTATTAAAGGGGGTGGGGAGAGAAATGGGAGGCCCTTATTGTTATTATTACTCTTTGGGAAGTAGAAAAGAGGGAGGGAGAGATCTGATTTATTTTTGGTTATGGAGGAGAAGGAAATACTGATTCTGAAGCAGTACTGCTGCTTGCTGGTACCACTGGAGATTGCAGATGGATCACTGGATGCATCTACAGTGTAGAATTAAAGCAGTTTGGCCCCACTTGAACTGTCAAGGCTCATTGGAATTGGATCCTGAGATTTATAGTTATACAGGGGGCCTTCCACACAGCCCTGTATTCCAGAATATAAAGGCAGAAAATCCCACAATATTTGCTTTGAACTGGGTGATCTGAGTCCACACCCAGATAATAATAATAGTAATAATTATTATTATTATTCGCCAAAACATCACACAGTCCTAGACACTTGGGAAGTGTCCGATGTGCGATCCAATACAACAGCCAGCAGAGTGTCTGCTGTGGACTCATTTTGTTGTGTTTCTAGTAATAATAATAATAATAATAATAATAATAATAATAATACACTTTATTTATATTCCACTTTATCTCCCCAGAGGGACTCAGAGCAGATTACAGTTTTACATATATAAGGCAAGCATTCAATGCCTTTTACACAGTAATAATAATAATAATAATAATAATAATAATAATAATAATACTTTTATTTATATCCTGCCACCATCTCCCAGTGGGACTTGGGGCGGCTCACAAAACACTCAAGGTGTGACATGCAAAATACAGCATGTGCAAAGTAAAACATATGACTAGACAGTAAACAATCAACACAACATCATACATTCACAGTATCCACGGTAAAAAAAAAATAGAGCAATTGCTGTGTGTAAAACAACAGTATTTGGTCTCAGAAGTATAAAGTAAATAACGATACACATACAATACGCAGACAAAGGTAAAGGCTTTCCCCTTCCGTTTCCGGCGTCTGGAAGTGGTGCTCAACTCTGGCCACGGGGAGATGCTTTTGTTCCATTTTCCCATGCCAAAGAGCCTGTTGTCCATAGACTTCTCCAATTGTGTTGCCGGCATGTCTGCATGGGGCACACTTTTACCTTCCCGCTAAGGCAGTACCTATTGATCTACTCACATCACATGCTTTCAAACTGCTAGTACCTAGCAGGAACTTACCCCGACTCACAGCTTCAAACTGCTAACCCTCCGGTCGAACTGCTAACCCAAGTCAAAACATCACCATCAAATAAATACATTACAACACACAATCACAAAATAGATGGGTATGGGGGGCTCCCTGCATGTTAAAATGTATCATTGATTTAATTTTAAGGATTGTGTTTAAAGTGCTGATTTATTAGCAAGTACACAAAGATTGATTGTAACAGCCTGAA